ACTGTGAGGAGAGCCAGAGAGGCTGTCGGTTCAAAAGGGGGAGAGGGAGGCTGAGAGAAAATGACAGACGTGGCCGGAGGAAAGGAAAGGAGCGTTTGAGAAAGACAACCCCTGAGAGACGGCAAACTGAACCCGCTGCCCCGACTCACCCCCCCTCCTCACCCCAACCCCTCCCTGTGTGCTTTGCCATGGTTACCAGACAGGGCTCCCAATGCAGCCAGTTAATGTGTTTTTCAGCAGAAGGAGCGAGCTGGGTACTAATGTGTCTCAGTCTGTCTCCTGCACAATCAATGTCAACTGTCCTGGGATGCACAAACACATGGAGGGGCTGAGAGCCAGGGAACACTGAGCCCCCTGGCTGAGAGTCAGGGCCACACACTGAAAGAGGACAGCAACTTTTATTTATTCACCTGAAAACTGCCGGCTCTAGCTTTGTTAAGCAGTACAGTGTTTTGTGTAGGAGACAGATATTAAATTGATGATTACTTAATTATCTCACATTTAATCTGATTTGAAATCAAAAATGTATTCTACACCGCTTACAAACCCCAAAACGCCAGTCAATAGAAAACAGCTGATCATGTTTTATTTAAATCCTTCTCAATGTCCTTTTCAGTCTTTTTTGGATTTACATGGTATATCACAAAAACAAAATGTTTTTACCATTTGTTGAATTTTATTGACATCTTTTCATCAGAAAGAGAAGATCCAGAAGGTGCAAATCATTCATCCATAGAAATCATAAAAATGTAAAGCTGCAACAAGCTGTTGATTCATTAATTAGTAGATCAAGAAAAAAACTATGCTAGTCAATCCTTTAGGTTTCACTTTTTTCTGACATCTTATATGGCAAATTATTAATAGATTTACTGAGAAAATAATCAGCGGATGGAGCCCTGTGAAAATTCACACCTTTTAACCGACATATTCCCTTGTCAAAATCCAACAAATGAATAGGCATCAAGGTGATGACACTTGTTCTCTTGAAGACACGTCTTGGATGTCGTTGATTTTCAAATCCGATGTGAGTCATACATCGGGGTCATGAGCCTTGGCTGTCTTTTTATTGAACCGTGTAAGTGTTCATTGCACAAAGCCAGCCGAAAGGTACTGCCCCCTCCAGAGAACATGTAGTCTCCTCCTGGCTTTCCATGAAGTCTGGAACATTTCGGGAATTCTCTCCTGATGAGTTCCTTCAGTCGATACGGCTCTGCAGATTATTTTCCCATGTTTCTCTTAATCTTATGATTTATAAAAAGTCCATGCCCCCAGATGCAGCTGCATGCGACTTTGTTCCCAAGGACCTCACCTGTGACCTTTCACATCATCACAGGTTAAGGGTCTCAGGGACAATGAAGCACACCACCAGATAAACAGCTGATCAATCAGCCTCGTCTGCAGGTGAAATCCAACTCAATGTTTTTCTGTAAACTGTGAAATTATAACATGAAAAAGATCCCATGACGTATGTTTGTGTGTAAATGACATATTGGTCTATTATTCATTATGTTGTTCGTTAGCTTGATTAAGATTCATTTTGACATTAAATCAACATTTCAACTAGAGACAGATAAAGCTCATCTTATATTAAAACAAAAATAGGCCGTTAATGAGCGACAGTGACTACATCATATTGGCTGGTTACCGTTATTTGTTAATCGATGCAGTCCGACTGTTTCGTCTCGACACGTCTTCACAAAATGGATTGCATCACATCCTGCGGAAAAATACATATTTAGTTAGAGTACATTGTAAACCATAAAATATAAATTCTCGTTATTTATCCGTCGCTCCATCGTCGCGGCCCGTTTACCGTCCGTCCTCCTGAAATAGCCAGTGCCTTTTGTCCAGTGCCGGTCTGTGCGGTTAGACATTCAAACGAAATGCCCCCTGCTGGCAGACAGATAGACAAAGACACATGTACGCAGAGGAAAATCCTCAAATTCTATGTATAAATCTGGATTTTGCATTTGGGACGAGCAAACGGCCTGTATGAGCGTTAAGCCCTGACCAAGCAGTCATACAGTTCACAAACACGCTGAGACTCGACTTTCCGCTTATGCACATGCATGAAACATCCACAGACAGCTGTGCCCGGAGCCGCAGGCGACACTGTCGTCTTATATTTCCTACAGGCCCTGTGATCTCACAGGATTATGCAATCACTCCCCCGTGACAAAGATGTTCAGCCTTGAGGGAGTTACACTGATTTACTCTTCACCAGACAAAATAAATGCCACACAAGCCTTACACTGCAGATGCCACATGAAGAATATGAGCCAGGGTCCAAATAACTGGTAAACAGCTGAAACGCTCCTTTTGCATCACATGCAAGTCTGTGCAGACGACAGCTTCATCGTCTGCCAACGAACCAGAACAATCCATTACTTACTAAATCTGTCTGTGGCCAGGTGCGCACACATGCAGACAAACATGCGACTCCACAAAGGCACACAGAACAAGAAGCGTTTGGCTGCCAGTGTGAGAAATCTAACTGCCTCTCTGTTTCCTCTTTGTCTCTGTAAGATGTTTTCCTCTGTCCCAGTTTCATGAGCTCCACTGCTGCTCCGAAAAGCACCGGAGACAAAGACCAGAGGATAAAAACCAGAAGCTAGAGAGAATTAAGATAAATGTTCACATGTAAAATGTGTTTACCTTAGTCTAAAAAGAATGAACATGAAGATAGACACAAATGAAGGAAAGATGGCGGGTGGACGTGGTCAGTCGAATAGCTTGTCTGGATTTATTAGTTGGCCCATTAAGTCATTCGGAACTCACCGTCTGCCCTTTCCGACACACACAAACATGTGTCCATGTACACAAAACAGGTACTCATACACACACACACACACACACACACACACACACACACACACACACACACACACACACACACACACACACACACACATATATATATATATACAACACATGCTCTAACAATGAGTTATTGATCCTCTTTCCCTTTCGGAGAAAAAAGAAAGCGATAATTAATCCAGTCGTAAAGAAAACAACGCTTGATGAAACCTATCCTGCCTCGTCTTCACAGTCTTCCTTTTCTCTGAGCGCTGTATGCGGCGGCGGCAGACAGAAAAGCTTTTCCCCCCTCGCTACCCCTCCATCTCTCGCTCTCCTCTTTTTGTCTCTCCTCTTCTTCTATCCCTCTCTCAGGCGCTGTCCCTGGTTCTGTGTGAGCCCGTTTCCCTCTGCCAAGTCACATCACTAATTCTCCAGGCGATAAGAGTCCGAGCCAGCGTCTGTGATGCAGGTACGCTACACATGCACATAGTAAAACACACACAGACAATTGATTCCATTTTCTGGTGCTGTACCAACACCCACCAGCAGCGCCTCCATCTATGACCCCCTCCTTTCATTAATCTGTGTCACCTACATACATCAAACACACACACACACACACACACACACACACACACACACACACACACCTCGACATTGAGAAACACCCAGAGTAAATACACATACTAATTGTTCAATGTTCCAAACTCACATTGGTTTCTCATACAGCATCTCTGTATAGTATGTGTATTTACTCTGGGTGTTTCTCAATGTCGAGGTGTGTGTGTGTGTGTGTGTGTGTGTGTAGGCATTCTGGTGCAGCATAGACAGGTCTTTTCTGTGTTAAGAGTTTTACTCGCTACAGGATGTACTTTGAGGGTTTTGACTCTGCAGACCGTTTACATGCAGAAAAGGCTACATAACACACAAGGGGACGGGTAATAACCGGAAAAGCATGACATAGAACCTTTTTTAAAAAAAAAATGCATGACTAAGACTATTTTTTAAATGTATTTTCTGGTAACAAAGAAAGGGGTCATGATTTATCTACAGATGATTATCCCCTCCAGCTTTCTATCGTGAATCTGTGAGAGTGCTTGCTAGATAAAATGTCTAAATACTGTCATACTTTTTCTCAGTGCCATTTCACAGTTGTTTTGCCTTAATTGCCAAAGCTTTGAATGTACCATCACTTACGGTTCCTGAGAGCGATGTGTTTTCCTTCTCTACTTTTGCATTACTTGGCAGGATGATAAAGCTCTATGAAATGCCTTCCTGTTACTTATTTAGTTATTGCTATAGTTAGTTCACTCTTTTATTTAAATGTTTACTTGTAGCTGTGAAGCATCTTCATTTGTGTTTTTAAAACTGTCTTGAGATTAATTCATGTGATTGGTTTGCAATCACAAACATACATTTACATGTGTCTTTTTTGTAAAAAGAGTGACTTGTTTATAATGTTTACTGTTAGGCCTTTTTTCTTTGTCGCTTCAAAGATTTTACATTTCTAAATGCCAAATTGTGTATTAGTTTGTAATGTTAAAAAAGGTGATCTGAAGTCTAACTATTTTAGTAGACATTTGAATTTTGTGTGTTTTTGAACAAGAATTCAATTATTTGTTTGCTTAAAAATAAAAAAATAAATCTTGCTGTTTTATTTTCAACAATATCTATTTCAGATTATCTGTATTCCTTTGTCTACCTCCATACAGTTTGGATAAATCAATGATGAATGAGAAACTTTTTAGGTGTAGCAGCACCACTCTTACAATACTGTTTGAAGGCTTCATTGATGCTAAGCTAATGTAGCAGCAGTATGTGTATTTAGATAGATACATCACTTAAAACTGGAACACCGTTACACAATGTAGTTTTTCTTTTTAAATACCAGTACTTGACATGAAGCATTTGGCATTAGTTATATGATAAACCCAAAACAAAAGGATGTACTAAGCCTTCAGTTCTTACTTAGCTTTGTGGTCTACGAGTGCTCATTGGCAGGTATATAATTAAACAGAGACTAACACAAAGATTAACCTCTTACCTAAAAAATGAATATGATTTATACATTTAAGCACAAGAGCTCAAATAATAGTAATTAGAGGACATAAATTGACCGTTCGTGCGAAGGGACTAATAAGCGAATGACGTCAGATTCAACGAGGGGGCGGGAAGACATCCGCAGAGTAACACCTCGCGACTGTCTCCGCCTCCTCGTTCTCCCAGCAGCTGGACTCACCTGCCAGGTTACCTTTACTTCCCCCGGGAGAAACAACTAAAGTGAGCTCGGTACTTATTTCCAACAAAACCCAGGATTGTGTCGATGATGTGACCGGAGTGAAAGCAGGTACGTCAACCATACACAATTCAGTACTTTTCTCTGTTTCTGTAACACAATGCTCGACGTAAATACAGAGTTGCTCAACAAGTTTTAGCTTAGCCTGAAACTACATTCCTCCCTGCTCCCACTGGGCCTCCAGCTACACCTCAAGGAGGGGGAAGCTTTGGTATTATGTTAACAACGTTTTGAAGTAAATAACCAGCAGAGGACTGTTCACAGTTCAGACTCCATGTAACAATCACTTAAAAGGGACAGTATATCGGTAAAATGCGTGCCACTAATGTAGGACTTTAAACAACAAAGTCAGAGTAAGGGTAAAGTAGACACTTGCAAAAAATGCTGTTTTTTCCTGAGGGTTAATTCAATAAACATGACTCATATTTCTTAACATTAACACATCTCTCCTGAAACTAAATTAAAAACAATGATAGTTTAAAACTCAGTCTCACCATTAAAAGCCAGCCATGTTTTAATTATTTCATCTCAGTCACAACAACACAACACAACATGTCTTTCTGAAATCTGGTACCGACATACTTACACACAAAAAAAGAGAAATAAAGATAACATAAGGTTTAACATTCTTATTCCACATTATTGTTTCCTAGAATATAATTAAATATTGAGAAAAAGGTAGTCCAATGTTCCAGAGAGTTAACATATTATGCTAAGAAAAACTCAAATCAACAAAGCCGTAAAAATGTCATCAGATTTGTCTAAGGAACGCCTGTAGTGATAATATGTCAAATGGTCAAAGTCCAGTCTGTTTCAGGAGAGCAGGAATGCAGCCAAGTAGTGTATTACTCACTTAATGACTGGAATTATTCAGTGTTGTCTGTAAATGTTTAATAATTGATTTGGACTTTATTAACAGTGTTTCTGTTATCTTCTTCAAAGCATTGTACATAATGCTGATGTAGTCACATAGCTTCTTATACACTTTCTGGATGTGTTGTTGATGATACTTGTTCTGGTTTTAGAGCGTCATATTATCACTATTCAACAGTTCGATTTTGGTTACAAATGTAGATATTAGAAGTGTTCCTGAAAGGAATTTGTCTTCTGTGGCGTACACCATATCTGCGTCTATACGCATGGCTGGCTCTGCAGGACAGGACAAGCCATATAGTGCAACACACCCATGATAAAAAGTGAACTTTGATATTTTTGTGAAGCTGAAGCCAGAACACACTATTGTTTTTCACTCTTTTCTTCTTTTCCTTACACAGAAATCAATCAAAAATGACCATAGGAAGCTTGAAGAAGCTATGCTAACAGTTAGTGTGAACAAGTATTGACTGAAAAGAGAGAAAATTAAGATAAGAAGCTTGAAAAAATGTCTGGCCAAGTTAGTGTAGTCACAGACTTAACCGAGGAGGATGCACTTTCACCTGCAGAGCCACACATAGCAGGAAATAAAAAGCCAGAAGAGAGCAAGAACAAAGAGGAAAGCGAGGAGAGTACAGACAAGGAAGGAGATGACTCAAATGAGGAAGAGGAGGAGGAGGAAGTGACCAGCTCTGCTCATCTGGAGCCAAGCACTCTGCCCTGGCCTGGAGACAAAGACGGGCCTCAGACGGACAACGACGATGGAGTTTGGTCCGAAGAGAGAGACACGGGGTTCAGTGGGGGGAGCCAGGACCTGTCGGAGGAGCACAGAGACATGAAGAGCAGCATGAAGAGCAAGTGGAGGGAGAGCATGCCTGAAGGAGAGAAGTGGAGGGACGACGAGCTGGAGGTGCAGCGTGATGATAAAGGGGAAGGCTCCCTGGCAGACGATGAAGATGAGGAGGAGGAAGAAGCGGAGTCAAACTGGAGGTCAGATAAAGCAGCTATGGGTTTTTCTCCACAAGTCACCATCGTGCGTCCGTCCAGCAAAGAGCTTCTTGAGGAGAGCCGGATGTTCATAGAGGACGACGAGAAGGAGCTGCAGGCGGAGCACGACGCAGCCAATCGGTTTCATCCAGAGTGGAGAGAGCCGGACGACAAGTTCTGTGAGTATAAAACAAGAGTCAAGATACTTTATTAGCAGAGGTGGAAGAAGTACTCAGATCTTGTTCTTAAATAAAAGTAAAAGTACCAGAGTGTAGGAATACTCTGTCACAAGTAAAAGTCACGCATTCAAAATGTTACTCAAGTAAAAGTACAAAAGTATTAGCATCAAAATATACTTAAAGTGCCACAAGTAAAAGTGCTCATTATGCCGATTGGCCCATCTCAGAATAATATATATTACATGTGTTATTATAATTATTGATGCATTAAAGTGTTATCACAGCTGCTAACAGTGCAGCTTTGGTAGCTGGGGGATTGTACTAAAGTCTTACTTGTGTGTTGATTTTATTTCACACAATGAATCCAAATTTGCAAAGCAACTAAAGATTTAACAAATATGTAGTGGAGTAGAAGTACAAAGTAGCAAAAAATGTAAATTCTCAAGTATTTTACAAGTACCTTAAAAGTGTACTTAAAGGAGACCTATCATGCAAAATGCACTTTTTGATGTTTTTTATACAGAAATATGTGTCCCCGGTGCGTCGGGGAACTCACGCAGCGTCAGAAAATAAAACCCTCTCTCTTTTCCTCCGTACCCAAATCTTTTAAAAATGGGGCTACAACGAGCGGATACAGATTTGCTGCCGATATGATGTCAAATCGGCAGCGGACCCAAAGAAAATTGCTATCAGAAACAATGCCTGACGTGTTTTGGACGTAACCTCGTCTTTGTTTACATTAGCAAGCCTCGCTAACACTCAGAGCTAACCTGTACTGGAGAGAAAATGTGTTTTTTAAAAAGCAGGAAATAAAAAAAGGAACTCACCTTGTGGTAAACCCGCAAGATAAAAAGCATTTGAGCTCCATACTGTTTCAGAAATAATCCTTGATGTGGATTAGAACATGATGACGTTTAGAATTTAAATGTATCTGCCGGTAGAATTCTGAGCAGGCATTAGCTCCCCCTCCTCTTTTTTGTTTTTTCAAGCTAAGGACCCAGAATCAGCCATTCTCTAACTGGGCTGGAATAGAGGGATATGAGGGATGTCTAAAATGCATGATTTGTTTGTATTTTGAGCAAAACACACCATAGACATGTTTTTATATATGTGTATATATCTGAGACCCATAATATATGCCTTTTTTTAAATAGCATGATAGGTGCACTTTAAGTACAGTACTTGAGCAAATCTACTTTGTTTCTCTCCACCACCTGTTTATTTGTCACATGTACCTTTTAGAGACATGTTGCATCAAACTCCCAAGTAGTGCACAGTGCATTCAGCATGTCAATAATAGAGGCGGATAAAGGCTTTCAAATGAGGATTAGAGCCATTGTTTTGGAGATCTGACCAAAAGTGATTATTTTTTGTTCTGAGATTAAAGTCAGAATTTGGAGCTACATAACCAAAATAAACCCACTTTCGTAATTGTATTTTGTTCCTCTACTGTGACATGCTTTAATGTTCAAAAAGGTCTTTATCTTTCTCATACTGCCTGTGCTGCAGCACCTCTTTTCACCCTCTGTCTGAAACCAGAGCCCAGTCTGCTCTGATTGGCCGGCTCTGTTGTGATTAGGGATGCTCTGATTGATCGGTCGCCGATCGATATTGGCCGATACTCACTCTCTGCCGATCGATCGGTGCTCTCTATAAAGGCCGATGGCGAGAGCCGATCACATGACGTAAAATGACGATGTAAAATACACGACACTTTTCTCAGAGAAACTCACTCTGGTATAAACTTTGGGATTTTTGCCTTTGCAGACCATTTACACGCACAAAAAACATATAATGCACTACAGGAAAGGGAAACCCCAAAAAGCATAAAAGGGCGCGTTTACGATGAAACACACTATGACTCCAGTCTCTCCTCATGGTCCTGCTGTCCCCCCCCCATAAAAAGGAATAATGACTTGTTATTGAACGTGTCCCTTCTCCTTCCTCAGACCTGTGTGAGTCTCTCTGCAGTGAGAAGCTGAAGCTGGTTCTGGGGACGGCCGCTGCAGCGCTGCTCTTCCCTCTGCTGGTGTGGGGGGGGTACGCCCTCATTCCCTTTGAGTCCCCACTGCTGCAGAGCACCCCCCTCAGGGTGGTGTACACTCTGCGCTGCGCCTTCTTCGCCATCATCCCCATCATGCTCGGTAAGGGGTAAAGTTTATCATGCAATGGAATAAAAACGTATTAAGTTTGAAAACAGACATTGTTAGCTCTGAACCCCCCCAGGTGTGTAACCCCTAACCCCCTCTCTGCAGGTGTGCTGGTGCAGGGCGTGGCCCGGCTGCGCTACAGCGCCCTGAAGCCCCTCTACGAGAGCGCCCTGGTGAACAGAGAGGTGGCCGTACACTGGCACTATGTCAACGAATCGCTGGCTCTCTTCCTCTTTTATTTCCTGCAGCTCGCTGTCATGGCAACCTACATCAGCCAGGACCTGGTCAAACTGGTGCCGCTGCTCACCATCATATTTGTCTTCGGCAGGTATGTGAATTGAATTTGTATAGTCATTTGAACAAATATGTTTTCCCTACTAAATAAGGTTAAAAAGGTTAGGAGTAAAAACCGAATCAAATATTTTAAGGCGGCATTAAAACTCAAAGCGTTCATAGTTATTGCAAAACCACCAATCCCACTTTAAACACTTTTGATAAGAAAAACATAAATTAATTTCACATTAAAGACACACAATACAATATTGGTTTTGACAAGACTTATGTTGGCCACTTGACTTGAATGTGTGAGCAGGCTATCATTTGAAATGTAACACTAAACACATCATACAGCTGAGGCCAATGGTAATGGCATTAGTTCATATATTGAAGTATTACCTGTGGAGGTTATACCTGATGTTCCCAAAAAGGTTTTCTATACCTGGAAAGTAAACCGTTTACATTCCTTTTGATTGAAATCTCTAATTAAAGGCTTGTAGTCATGGTGTTAACACTGGCTCACTGTTGGTCCACACAGACACAGATACGTTTCTCAGCTGAATGAGAGAGGGAGTGGATCAAGGCCAGAAATGCCAGGCAGCACATTTACTCTCCAGCTAGTAAAGAAATGTCTTTCTCTTCTTTTAGTCCTTCATTCACTTCAGTTATACACTTCACTGACTCTGCATGCAACAGCTGGACAAGTCTTTACAACACAGTGATACCACGCTACTGATCAGAAAGGATTCATACAAATCCCCAGTTTTACCACTTACTGTATGTGGGAGGATAATCTACTTTCTGTCGCACCTTTGCATGCATCGCCACGGTGACAACAACAGATCAGTGCTGAAGTACACTTATCCTTCCTTTACCAAATGAACTGGTTAACCTGATGACTCACATGCCGTGTGAAGTCATTCAACGAGTTAACACCTTCTCTTTTCTCTCCCGGTATTGCATTCACACAGCACTGCACATGATTGATAGATTCTTTGTTAGTTCTTTCCAAGAAAAGGTGTCGCCACTGTCTGTTTTTAAAGCTTTATATAAATACAAAAGGTACATGAATATATTACACCCAGCATATTCCCTTAAATACTCACACATACCTATAAACAAGCAGTAGGGCCGTACCAATTCAAGCATCATTCATACCATTCTTCCATTTTAAATCAAGAGTAGAATACTTTTTAGAATGTCAGTTCTCTGTGTAAAGAGTCCTTCAAAGTGCAGGTATTCAAACGTTGTACCTTTTTATGAATCCATATCAGGTCGTCTTCCTGATACTTGCAGACTGATGAGATTTTGAATTGTTGGGGTGTTAACGGGTGGAAGAGCTCCATCTACATCTAATATGTATACTCGTGTGTGTGAGTCAGACACACTACAGCAACAAAGAAACCTCATAAAGATAATCTAAACACCCCTCCTAATACCCATTTGTTTTATTCATTTAGTATTTTCACTAAGAGATGTGAGGTTGTGACGACCGGAGGCTCTGAAAATGTTCTGGCAAAATCTAAAACATATTGAGAGGACATTTGAACCAATAATCCAAATGATGAATCCAGATCCTTTGAGTCATCGAGCACTTTACACAGAAACTGATGGACGATTCATCTTTGGAAGGGACTGGGGGCTTTTTGTCATGTTTGTGTTCTGTTTCATACTGTGTGTTCTGTTTCATACTGTGTGTTCTGTTTCATACTGTGTGTGTGTTCTGTTTAATACTGTTTGTGTGTTCTGTTTCATACTGTGTGTGTGTTCTGTTTCATACTGTGTGTGTGTTCTGTTTCATACTGTGTGTTCTGTTTCATACTGTGTGTGTGTTCTGTTTCATACTGTGTGTTCTGTTTCATACTGTGTGTGTGTTCTGTTTCATACTGTGTGTGTGTTCTGTTTCATACTGTGTGTGTGTTCTGTTTCATACTGTGTGTTCTGTTTCATACTGTGTGTGTGTTCTGTTTCATACTGTTTGTGTGTTCTGTTTCATACTGTGTGTTGTTTAAGCAATAGCTCACGATATATATATATATGAGCATATATCACGGCCTGAAGTGAGCTATTGCTTTTATAAAACTGTTACAAAGTGTGGCAATATGAAAGAAGAATAAACACTCTAATTTAAATAGTTTTTATTAGTAAATAATGATGTTCACAATAAAATAGCCCCTCCGTTGCCTTCTGCACAAAAAATGCGAGGTGGTTGCTATGCAACAACACTAACAGCTAGCGAACATATTTGACAGAGAGCGTTGATCCATTATTTGGCTATTCATTTATATCCATTTGTATGTTGCCGTTTATTGTGCAGCCACTGAAAAACTGTCCAGCATCAGTAGCATGGCTTACGTGGTCACTTGTATAGGTTGAGGTTGTTCTAGGCTGTTGCTTGGCGTGGCGAGAATATTGCTCCACTTTCTCCGGTCCCCGAGATTGGGCTTCCAGTAGCTCTGGAGAGAGCACTCGCACCTGTGGCCACTAACGGTCATAATTTCTCTGCTTTGTTTCAAGACCCGCATCAGAAAGCTTTTGAATGGTGGTACTTTTCCAGTTGGTCTACCTGCTGGGGTCACCAACCTTTTTGTCACCGAGGGCTACTTCAAGGGTACTGAGTAATACGAAGGGCTACTTGTTTGATACAAACTTCCTGAATAACATAATTGCACGGTTCACCTTTAATGATAATATTATTATTAATAATAATCAGAATACATATTAATTTACTGTATGTGAAGGACTGTCTGATCACATGTTAATGTTAATTATTC